CAGATGATTCAGTGACTCATAATGACAGTCACTTGTTAAAGAGTCACTAAAAATCCCCTCTTTTACTGTCAGCGCTCTCTAGAGATGTGGCAACATCAAAAGGAGGAAACACACCCAGATCAATCTTTGTTAAATCTTTGTTGACACCCAGATCAAATGAAAGAGTTCAAGCAGGTAAGTTTCATTTTAATTTTTAATATTTAGATCAGTGTTTCCCATACATTTATTTGTGGCGGCCCGCCACAATATCAAAACCCACCGCCACAAATAGATTTTCCAAAAGGCTTTGACTTTGTTGAATAAACATGAGCACTGCACGTGTCAAAGTCGAAACCCAGTGCGGGTGTTTTTATATCACTGCATTTCTGAAGGAAACCGACTTCAGAAAATTGTCATTTTCATTTCATCTTGTCTGCAATGCCTGAGCAGCGTTTGTAAGCCGAGCGCTGCTTTGTGTGTAGCCGTTACTGGGGAAACCTCTATCTCTCCCGCTCTACAAGCGCCTCCTGCTGGCAGAGAATGAATTTGCATATATAAGCCGCCACAAATGTGCAAGTCTGTGGGAAACACCGCTTGACGCTAATATAATGAGCATTAGAATGAAGTTTCTTTATTAATTATTTAATGCTCCTATAACTTTTATTAGGGTAAAAAAAACAGGAGGACATGATGATATTTACTATTTTTACACACCAGAGGCTTTTAAATGAATTGTGAATCTAAAATATGCGTGTTAGAGAATGTACAAATGGTTAACATTGTTTGTGTCATATCAGTCAGAAAAGCAGTTCTGGGCTTTTTTTCTTTTCTTAAGCCAACTTAGTTATTCTTAGCTGAATAACTCTAGGTTTTCAAAAGCCCTTTAAAATTAAATATGGACACAGTTTGGATTAAATGAAAGTATAGTCAATTTTTTTAATTAGCATGTTTTTGTGTTTTGCTTTGGTACCGAAATTGGTACCGAGAACCATGGATTTTCACTGGTATTGGTACCAAGTACTGAAATTTTGGTACCGTGACAACACTACACTAGACAAGTCTGGAAGACCTTAATAAACCCTCATAATAAGCTTCAAGTCAAGGGCATGAGTCAACAGCACTAGAGGATCATCTTTATCCTCTTACATTTCTTCAAAGATGAACCGAACACAACAAGTGAAAGAGAGGATAAAGAAAGATTTTTTTTTTTTTTTTTAAAGCACCCTGTTAAGGGAATGGAAGTGCAGGCACAGTAGTCTGTGTGTATAGGACCAGCTTTAAGATTCTGGCGGTAAACGGAAAAGCTAATCCCTAATTTCCCAGTGGGGGTATTGGCTTGAACATCTGAAAAAAAAAAGTCTAAAAAAAAAAGACTACTTTGCTGTAATTTGGTGTCACTTAAAGCAATGAGGAAGCAAAAATAGCAAGGAGAAAATTCACATCTGATGCCACTTGCATGGTAAAGAAAGCTCTAGATATGATCTGGTTTAAGGGAGTGGAATAAACTAGAAAATAGAGTGAAATTCCAAAAGCATACTTGGACCCGCCTCTCTAAAATTCTCATTGGTCAATGAAAACTTGCTACAAGAAAAAAAAGTAACTTCAACCAATTACTGTTTGCCTGATGATGTATATTCCATAATATCCAACCAATGTGATATAATAGCTATCCGCTAAAAGACAAGGAACAGGTGAGGACATGTCTAACGCAGTCACGGATATCTTCTTGAGCCAACTAGTTGGGTGGTGGACACTCTGCTGGGGATTAGCCGTATCCCACAGCACAATGCCAAGAGGAGCCTGATACACGGTGCCCACTGCCAGGGCATTGGAGTTTAATTAAGTGTACTGAACCCAGGGCCAGAACCAGATGCATCATTGGCACACGCTACTCAGAATTCCCTTCACCCACTCCCCGCGGTCTGTGCCATACAGGAAGCCTGGATCACTACTGTGAGAAGATTAGATATATACTGAAGAGCATTGGTTTAATAGGCTTGGAGCACGGTGAGACGGGATGGGTTAAGATGATAGCACCGCTGCTTATGTTAAATGTGTTGTAGAGTTTCCATAATTTTTGAACTATACAGTTCAATGACATTTCCCCACACACTAGTGTTCAAAAGTTGGGAGTCAGTAAGATTTTTTTTTTAAACTGTGGGTGATCTGTCTACACTGAACATGGGTGATGTGGAGATTCAACACATGTTCAGGTGATGGACATCATGCCCCTGTGTCAACACAGACACACTGCAGCTCTGTCAATTTCAATCAGTTCTTCACACAGAGAAGAGCAAATCAGTTAATGTCAAACTGTGTTAAAGGTCCCATATTGTCAAAACTGAAATTTCCTGTCTTTTTTCACGATAACTGAGGTCTAGGGGCTATTTAACTACCAAATAAGTTTCAAAACAGTCAGTCCACCGTAAAATGCATACAGCCTGCATAAAGTAGCTGTGATTTTTCACGAACCGTTGTGACTTCCGTAAAAAGTTGACGTCAGAAGTGAACGTATGCGTGTCATAAATATTGGATCCATGCATTCAGTCTTAAAGTGACAGCAGCCGTATAAATACCTGCTGCTGTCTGTGTCATTTAAGTTAATTTAACAACAAATCACAGCTTTAACAAAGATTAATCTATATTCAATTCATACAGTGAACACTATGCAGTGTTATTTTACACTGAAAGGCAAGGCAGGTGATTTGGCTCAAAAACATTTTTTGTTATGATGGTTGAAAGTCTCTTCACATCCTGATAGCAACCACTAAGTTAAATGGTCTAAATTAATTTATATTATCTGTGGAAGGTGTAGGACCATAAAATGTTTGTCCAATCAGATTCCTCAGTCTGAGGATTATGATAGGCTGTCCTACCTGCCTGTCAACATATGTATTTGTGTACCTCTGCACACCCCGTTCATGCAAACATGATACGTCATTAGCACGTTTCATTATGCTACTGCAGACGAGCGAGAATGGAAGGTGTTATCTTTGTAATATTATGCTCTTTGTACTGTAATGCTTTCCCACCGGTGAATGAGACATGAGGTAATCTGACAGCATTGCATTCAATCCTCCACCAGCGCCGTCTCTCATTGTGTCGCTGGTTAAGCTCTGATCTGCCTGTTCGAATGCATGTGTTTTAGAGGAAGTGTGGCTTTGGAGAGTGATTTGCAGAGAGGATGGGATCCTATGTTTTCAAACCTAGCTTGCTATGGCTAACCTCTCTGAAATCTCCTACCCTACCTTTGATTATTAATTTTTTTTGCACGTTTCATTATGCTACTGCAGACGAGCGAGAATGGAAGGTGTTATCTTTGTAATATTATGCTCTTTGTACTGTAATGCTTTCCCACCGGTGAATGAGACATGAGGTAATCTGACAGCATTGCATTCAATCCTCCACCAGCGCCGTCTCTCATTGTGTCGCTGGTTAAGCTCTGATCTGCCTGTTCGAATGCATGTGTTTTAGAGGAAGTGTGGCTTTGGAGAGTGATTGCTTGAGAGGATGGGATCCTATGTTTTCAAACCTAGCTTGCTATGGCTAACCTCTCTGAAATCTCCTACCCTACCTTTGATTATTAATTTTTTTTGTTTTTTTTTTTACATATTTTGTTACTGACTGTTCACTTGCCATTAATAATGTTTAAACTTTAGTAGTTAGGCTAGTAGTTTTTGCTGCGGTATCAAATATGAATTTAAAGTATTCTGTAAGTCATAAATGCAAAGCAAAGTTACATTTGTCATTTTGACAGTTTTTTTGCTGATATGAAAAATTACCTGATCTGTGACAAAAAAAAAAACGTATTATGATCAAAACTACGAGTTTTGAAATCTGTTGAACCTCTAATAATTAGACATTTTGATTCTGTTAAAACCAATGTAACTGCAACTCCGTGCTATTTAACATCAGAATTCTTACTGAAAACTAGGGATGGGCATTCGATTAAATTTTCTTAGTCGATCGTCGGGAGAATTAACAATCGACTATCGATTAATCATTAATATTTTTATAATAAAATTAATTATTTAACTTTTATAATTCAAAAATGCAATGAATACAAAAATACAGCGTGTTTTTCCTCGATGAGACCTTTATTACAAGATCAACTTGTGGCAGACAGTTAAACTACGTTCAGTTAGGCAAACCGAACATATATGTGCGCGCTTATGCGGTGCTCTAAAGCAGCGGAACCTGCAGCTGCGAGCCGGC